CAGGGGGAGGTGTGGAAGAGGCTCAGGTGAGCAGGGCCAGGGGAGGTGATTGAGCACAGCTGGAATCAGTTGGCTAATCACTCTCCCCTCTGTAAAAGAGTAGCGTGCTGGACTTGGGGGGGACTGGTCTTGGAGGAGAGCTGGAGCAGGACCCAAGCCAGCAGATTGAGACCGGACAGGCAAACTGCTTGAAAGCAAAAGAGCCCAAGCCGGGCGTCCGTGTGAGTGTGTGTGTGTGTGTGTGTGTGGCTGTGCGTGCCGCACACACGCTCTGAAATAAATCCGTCAACCAACAAATCCTGGTCTCCGAGGGCTCTGTCAGACACCCACGGTGGCACGACCGCCACAACTACCAATTGTGTCTTTGTTAAAGAAGTTTGGCTCCTTTTCGGGCTACAAAATAAACCTTCTTAAGAGCGAATGCTTTCCCATAAATTCGTTAGGTCTTACACTTATACAGTCTGATATTCCTTTTAGGCTTAGCTTGTCAGGATTTAAGTATTTGGGAATTGATGTAACTCGTACTCTGTCCTCTTTGTATTCGTTTAATTTCACCCCTTTGATCTCTCAGATTAAATCAGATTTTCAGAGATAGAATTGTCTGCCTTTGTCGCTTATCGGTCGAATTAATACAATCAAGATTAATATTCTACCTCGATTACTCTTTCTTTTCCAGTGTACTCCTGTATTTTTGCCTAAAGCTTTTTTTAAAAAGTTGGATCAGATCGTCACATCGTTTTTGTGGGGAGGGAAACACCCCAGGGTAAGGAAATTTGATAGTGGTCTTGCTTTGACTAATTTTTTGTGTTATTATTGGTCTGCTCATGTTCACAAATGTACCTACTGGCTTCAATCACAATAACTTTTGTGGTGCAAGTTAGAACACTTGTCCTGCATCTCCTCTTCTTTGGATGCTTTACTCTCCTTTCCTCTCCCACTCAACTTCTCTCAATTCACAAAGAACCCAGTGGTGCAATCGAATCTTAAGATTTGGTCACAGTACAGGAGCCATTTTAAGTTTGTATCCGCATCAGTAACTATGCCCATCACAAAGAATCATTTATTCCCCCCTGGTCTTACTGATGGTACTTATGTGCAGTGGAAACACCATGGTATTAACACCTTTAAAGACCTGTATAAGGATGGCGATTTCTCCAGTTTTTCGGCCAGAGGGGCCGTAATAGAGGCCCCGCAGCGCACCATTAGGAGAGATAAAAAGAGGTTCCAGCTTCAAAATGCAACATTATAGAAAAGGTTTTGCGTGGTGTATGACAAGAGAAGGCTCTTTGCAGACGGGAAAACTCTGCCTTTTGGTTACTAGAAAATGTCACTGTCCCGTGTAATGCAGGAGATTGAATTTGATCCACGATTCAAAAATTCCTTTTTGGGGCCCAGCGGATGTGGAAAGAGTTTCTTTGTAAAAAGTGTTTTGCAAAATTGTGATCATGTTATGGGTTATGTACCTGAAAATATTGTATGGATTTATACTTATTTTGAACCCTTGTATACCGAGTTGCAGAAAATGAATACAAATATTAAATTTGTTGAGGGGTTACCTCATTCTTTTGATGATGAAAATCTGTTTCCCTCCGATCAGAATATTTTGGTTATATTGGACGACGTCATTTTCCAGGCTTCGGAGCATCCTGATGTGGTCAAGATTTTTACGCAGTACAGGCATCATAGAAATATGAGCGTGATGATGCTAACTCAGGGCAAGTACAGCCACACCATCAGCCTAAACTGTAATTATATGGTGTTGTTTAATAACCCCAGAGATAAACTGCAGCTGAACATACTAGCCGTCAAATATACCCATCAGAAAAAAAATTATTCACAGAAAGTTTTGAAGATGCAACCAGAGAGCCTTACGGGTATTTAATAGTCGATTTGACTCCAACTTGTTTAGATCCTTACAGACTGAGAACGGGCGCACTTCCCGACCAGAGGCCCGCTGTGTATGTACCTAAAGCAAATTAACTCTTCATGTCAGCGCGCATAAAAAGAAACGCTCCTATATTCAGAGCTCTTTTTCATGCAATCCCGCAGAAACGTAAAGACATTCTCGCTCACTGCTCGCCCGACTTTCTTAAAGCTTTGTGCGAGATAGCTCTGAATATCTTAAAAGGCAACGTTAAATTATCCCCGTCTCAACATAAAAAATTGGAAAAGCAGAAAAATATGCTGGCTGATCAGAGAGCAGGATTAAAGCGTAAACAGTTAGCTCTGAAAACTCAGGGAGGCGGTTTTATCCTCCCCTTGCTGGGCGTTGTATCACCCATAACTCATTGACTGCCAGCATTTTCAGAACAGAGAGTCCCATACTGCCAGAGTTTTTTGAGCATTTTGACAGATTTTTCAAGAGCCAAAAAATAGTTTGTGCTATGACTATGTAAGCACCGAACACGCCAAAAGAAAGAATAAACTCTCTTCTTTCATCAGGAAAAAAAATGTGTTTCTACCTTATTCCGTTCTTCCTCAACTTGAGTCTCACCGGCGACATGTTCTCTCATAGAACCGTTACCTTTTTCTCATTTGCCTACAGTCTATGTTCATCTCCCATCAAAAGTGGGACTGCCACCTAGAGGGTCAATTTGTTACTACATACTCTGTCTAGAAGCCGATATTTACGGACAAGCTTTAGCAGATCGTCGCCCAAGCCACTCTCGTTCAAAAACATAAAAGACGTCTATAGACGTCTTTGGCAGTCAACGGTTGTATTTGAATTGACGTCTATAGACGTCTTTGGCAGCCAATGAGTTAATCGGTGAGCTTGTGGGAGGTCTTATCAGGAGGAAGTGAGAAAAATGTCACTTAGGACGGCGCAAAAGATGTATCTCGTTCCACCTCATCAGTTCAAACGTTTGACCCTGCCAGAAGCTTCCATCAGACAGACGGCTGAAGATGACCTGGACTCGAAAATGAAGGATATACTGAACGAGCCCAGGTTGAGTTCTTATAAAAAAATTCAGAAATACAACGGGCTTCTGCAAAGGTATCTAACTTTAGTTAAACAAGGACGGATGGAGGAGCCTCGGCTAACAGTGACTCTACAACCTAATTGGATGCCTGAAGATGACGCTGCTGAGGAGGGGGCAGGGGGAACACCCCTTCCTCCTCCTCCTTTTGTTCCTTTAACCGACTCGGAAAAAAACGGCGTTGGAAGTCATTTCGGCCCTTCCTAACATAGATCGCAAAAATGCTGAATACTTATTGACAAAGTTATCCCAGACGTCCAGAGGCGAATTTGTTTATCGGGACCTTGTGGTGACAGGGTCTCATTTGCTCGATTTGTTGAAAAATGTATTGCTCCCGTTTAAGAGGAAAACACATACGGAGGAACCTGCAGGCTGGACTTACTTCCTGACCAGTCTGCATGAGATGAACATTCCTGTTTCATCCATCAACAACCCAACTGCCCGTGAGCAATACAAACGCCTGAGGGAAATGGACGCCTTGGAGCTGAACCCGGATAGTGAGGGGGCTCCTAGGTTTTGACACCCCTGTCAAAGAATGTGTATGAAGCCAAGGTTAAGCAAAACAAACTGAAGGGCAAAAAGAAAACCTGACAAGAACAGCCATTGCTGGAATGTGTCTACTCTCTCAAATAAAAAGCAAGTAATGAGCAGTCCAGCGCTTCACCAGGGAGTGTAGTTAAGTGTATTCCTGGGGCCAGAGCGGGCGACATTGAGTCTTATTTGAAACTTCTGGCTAAGGGTAGACGTAGATACAGTAAGATTGTTATCCACGTAGGCGTTAATGACTCCCGGTTACGTCAGTCTGAAGTCACCAAGTTAAATGTGGAGTAATTTTGTAGATATGCTAGAACAATGTCAAACACCGTAGTTTTTTCTCCGGCCCCCTGCCCAACCTGGTTAGTGATGACATGTATAGCCGCATGTCATCTTTCCGTCGATGGCTGGCGAGGGTGTGCCCAGCCAATGATGTGGTCTTTGTGGATCACTGGCAGTCTTTCTGGGGAAGACGTGGCCTGATTAGGAGAGACGGCATCCATCCCATGGGGGAGGGAGCCGCTCTCATTTCTAGAAACCTAGCCAACTTTGTTTGCAGACTAAATCGGTGACAATCCAGGGTTGAGCGGAGGAAGCGGAGTTGCAGTGTAACCCTCTTCTCTGCTCCTCCATTCCAGGAGTTACTTAGTGAAAAACCTATAGAGACGGTTTCTGTCCCCCGGTCATTGAATTTTTTTAAATTAAGGGTAAACAGAGGAGTGGTGCATAAAAACCTCATAAAAGTTAAAACCACAAGAGATATAGTGCATGCAAATAAGAGAGTAAAATGTGGACTCTTGAATATCAGATCTCTCTCTTCTAAAGGTGTGCTTGTAAATAAACTATCAGATTATAAGATTGATTTATTTTGTCTTACTGAAACCTGGCTGGGTGATGGAGAATATGTGAGCCTAAATGAATCCACCCCTCCCAGTCATAGGAATACTCACATTCCTCGAAGCACAGGCCGAGGAGGTGGAGTTGCAGCTATCTTTGACTCCAGTCTTGTAATCAGCTCTAAAGCTAAATTGAACTATAACTCTTTTGAAAGCCTTGTTCTGAGTCTTTCCCACCCAAGCTGGAAATCACTGCAACCTATTCTATTTATTATAGTGTATCGAGCACCCGGTCCATACTCTGAATTCTTATCTGAATTTGCCGAGTTTTTGTAAACTTTAGTCCTTAAAACGGACAAAGTCATTATCGTAGGGGACTTTAATATCCATGTGGATGTTGAGAATGACAGCCTCAGTACTGCATTTATCTCTCTGTTAGATTCCATTGGCATCTCTCAGAGTATTCATGAACCGACTCACTGTTTTAACCACACCCTTGATCTTGTTCCGGTGTATGGTATTGAAATTGAACATGTAATAGTGTTCCCACATAATCCGTCTTTATTTAACCACTGTTTGCTAACTTTTGAGCTTTTACTGTTGAGTTACCCTCCACTTGGTAAAAATGTCTGTCTGATAGTGCTATAGCTAAATTTAAGGATGTGATTCCATCAGCTCTACATCCATTATCAAGTCGTACAGAAACAGGACTCTTATGTTAATTCCAGTCCTTCCCAAGTTGATCATCTTGTTGATAGTGTTGAAGGCTTGCTGCGAACAGCACTCAATGCTGTAGCCCCCCTAAAAAAGAAAATACTTAAACAAAGACGGTTAGCTCCATGGTACACTACTGAAACCCGCAAATTAAAGCAGATATCTCGGAAACTTGAGAAGAACTGGCGTTCAACCAAGCTGGAAAAGTCTTGTTTATCTTGGCAAGATAGTCTTAAAGCTTATAGGAAGGCCCTCTGTGATGCCAAAGCAGCTTATTACTCGTCTTTAATTGAGGAAAATAGGAACAATCCCAGGTTTCTTTTCAGCACTGTTGCCAGGCTGACTGAGAGCCACAGCTCTATTGAATCAAGTACTCCAATAGCTCTCACTAGCCATGACTTAATGAGCTCCTTTAATGATACAATTCTAGCTATTAGAAACAAAATTCACCAAGACTTGCCCTCAACTGGCATCGACTTATCTCTAAACTCAGTAACTGTTGGACCAGAACCAGTTATACGTTTTGACTCTTTTGCTTCCCTCAATCTTTGTCAACTAACTTCAATCATTTCTTCATCCAAACCTTCAACTTGCCTCTTGGACCCCATCCCGACTAGGTTGCTTAAAGAAGTCCTACCCTTAGTCGGTATTTCTTTGCTAAATGCATTCAATCTGTCCTTATTAACAGGCCATGTGCCACAGTTCTTTAAAGTAGCTGTAATTAAACCTCTTTTGAAAATGCCTAACCTGGACCCAGATGTTTTAGCCAACTATAGATCTATATCTAACCTTCCATTCATCTCCAAGGTCCTGGAGAAAGCAGTAGCCAAACAGCTGTGTGACTATCTACATAGCAATAGCTTGTTTGAGGATTTTCAGTCAGGATTTAGAGCTCATCATAGCACAGAGACAGCACTGGTGAAAATTACTAATGACCTCCTAATGGCATCAGACAAAGGACTCGTCTCCGTCTTAGTTTTATTAGTTCTTAGTGCTGCTTTTGACACCATTGACCATCAGATCCTATTACAGAGACTGGAACATTTCATTGGCATTAAAGGAGCCATTCTAAGTTGGTTTAGGTCCTATTTATCAGATCACTTTCAGTTTGTGCATGTTAACGATGACTCGTCCATGCATGTCAGAGTTAGCCACGGAGTTCCACAAGGATCCGTTCTCGGACCAATCCTCTTTATGTTATATATGCTTCCTTTAGGTAATATTATCAGGAAACACTCTATCAACTTTCATTGCTATGCAGATGATCCATCCATCCATTATCAATGCCGCTTATTCCCTCATGGGGTCGCAGGGGGAACTGGAGCCTATCCCAGTGGTCAACGGGAGTACAGGGAGTACACCCTGGACAGTCCGCCAGTCCATCGCAGGGACACACAGAGACACACAAGACATACAAGGACAAACAACCACTCACACTCACATTCAAATTCACATTCACTCTTAAGGGCAATTTCCCCAATCTCCAATCAGCCTAACATGCAGGTTTTTGGACTGTGGGAGGAAGCCGGAGAGAACCCACGCAGACACAGGGAGAACATGCAAACTCCACCCAGAAAGGTCCTGGTTCCCCCGGGATTCGAACCCAGAGCCCTCTTGCTGGGAGGCGACAGTGCTAACCACCGCACCACCGTGCCGCCCATTATGCAGATGATACTCAGCTATATCTATCGTTCAAGCCAGATGAAACTCATCAGCTGGCTAAGCTTCAAATGTGTCTTCAGGATGTTAAAACCTGGATGACCTGCAATTTTCTAATGTTAAACTCAACTAAAACTGAAGTTATTGTTCTAGGGCCTAAGCACCTCCGTGACACATTATCTAGAGATATAGTTTCCCTGGATGGCATCGCCCTGGCCTCCAGCACCACTGTAAGAAATCTTGGAGTTATCTTTGATCAGGACATGTCGTTTAACTCTTACATTAAGCAAATTTCAAGAACCGCCTTCTTTCACCTTCGTAATATCTCAAAGACTAGGAGCATCCTGTGTAAAAATGATGCAGAAAAACTAGTCCATGCATTTGTTACTTCTAGGCTGGATTACTGCAACTCCCTGCTATCAGGCTCTTCAAAAAAGTCCATTAGGACTCTTCAGCTGATTCAGAATGCTGCAGCATGTGTTCTTACAGGAACCAGAAAAAGAGATCACATTTCTCCTGTCTTGGCTTCTCTGCACTGGCTTCCTGTTAAACCAGAATAGAATTTAAAATCCTTCTCCTTACGTACAAAGCTATTCATGGTCAGGCCCCATCTTATTTTAAAGAGCCCTTAGTACCTTACTGCCCTACCAGAGAACTGTGCTCCCAGAATGAAGGGTTACTTGCAGTTACTAGAGTCTTGAAAACTAGAATGGGCGCTAGAGCGTTCAGCTATCAGAGTCCTCTTTTGTGGAACCAAGTTCCAGTTTGGGTCCGGGAGGCAGACACCGTCCCTATATTTAAGAGTAGGCTTAAGACTTTCCTTTATGATAGAGCTTATAGTTAGAGTAAGTCCACCCCCTAGTTGTGCTGCTATAGGCCTAGACCGCCGGGGGATGCATCATGATGCACCGAGCTCCCCTTCCTTTCTCTATCTCCCTCCCGGTGTAACCTCATTCCATTAACAATGTTACTAACTGGACTCTCTCCCTTCCCCGTAGTCGTGTGCTTTCTCGTCCCCCTTCTCTCTCCTCTTTCTTCCTATCACTTTCTGCAGATATTCCTGGCTCTGGAGCTGTGGGGTCTGGATTTGTGGTTGGGAGTCTCCTCCTGTCACTTCCTGCAGGTGTTCCTGGTTCTGGAGCTGTGGGGTCTCGATCTGTGGTTGGGAGTCTCCTCCTATCACTTCCTGCAGGTGTTCCTAGAGCTGAGGAGTCTGGATTGGGAGTTTCCTGCTACCCCCGTGTTCCTGCACTACTATTACTCTGCATAGTGTTATTTCTGTCATAACCTACCATAATCATTAGTATTAATATCATTGCCATTTTTCATCTAGTCTATGTGTTGCTGTGTTGGCTGCCCCTCTCTGCTCCTTCTGTCCTTCTCTCGCTCTCTCTCTCTCTTGCCCTCTCTTGTCCTCACCCCCAACCGGCTGAGGCAGATGGCCGCCCACCCTGAGCCATGGTTCTGCTTGAGGTTTCTTCCTGTTAAAAGGAAGTTTTTTCTTGCCTGTGTCGCCTAGTGCTTGCTCATGGTGGGAATCGTTGGGTTTCTGTAATTAACTTCAGAGTAGGTCTGACCTGCTCTGTTTGGAAAGCTGTGAGACAACTGTTGTTGTGATGTGGCGCTATATAAATAAAATTCAATTGAATTGAATTGTGCATAAGAGGTGCACTACTTTTGTTGGAGATGCTTTTCAGAATTTCACTTAAGATTCCATCTGTTCCAGCTGACTGTTAACTCTTTATATTCATGATTATTGTTAGATTTTCTTTATTCTGCCCACCAGTGTCACTCAGACTAAAAAATAATACCTTAGTTTTATTTTCTTTGATGTTTAAAAAGTTAAAACCCATCCAGGCTTTTAATCCATTGATACATTAATTTAAACTTGACATACAGAAGTTATCCTCCTGTTTTTAACTGCATAGCAATGAAAAGCAAGAACTCATGATGGGGATTTGGATCAAAGTGAGATTTTTTTATTTCTAAGCAATCCGTAGCATTAAAATGCTCTGCTCTGAAACCCACATCAATTTGTATGCAGTGATTTCAGTGTACTGCATTGTAGTGAAAAACAGTTGTATTACTTACTACTCTCTGTACCATTTATAGTGCTAGATTTAAGGTTTGCAACAATAAGTAGTTATTCAGGTGCATTTCCATTCACGACAACAAGTGCACTCATGTCCTCACAAACACAAACATACACGGAAACACACATGGAGACTCTCACCTGAGATATAATTATTAATCACTCAGGATGTTTTCATGCATATGCATCCACATGTATCCATATGCAACAGGAGTGTTTAGAATTTTGATGAAGATGGAGTTTAAATGAGAAATGTCCAAGGACATGCATCATTACTCTTGCTAAAACTGTAGGCATGATGAACTGATGGAATACTGGGTAAGGAAATCTATCACAGAGTGAAAATGTTTGAATTTATTGTGTTTAATTGTGATGCATTGTGGCTGAACTCGATTTGGGGTTGCTTTAACAAATATGTTCAATTTTCTTGTAATTATAGATTGAGACTGTCAAAATCTCCAGAATGGACACAGAGAACACTGTCAACAAGAGTTATATTCTGAATGCAATACATCCCTGCTATGAATTAGACAACGAAACCTATACATTTAAGCAAAACCCTTCCGTTATGTGTGTACTATTGTATATGTTCCTTGGTTCATTATGTGTTGTCACTGTATGTGGAAACCTTCTTGTTATAATCTCCATATTCTATTTTAGACAGCTGCACACCCCTACTAACTACCTCATTCTCTCCCTGGCTATTGCTGATCTTCTGGTTGGAGTTTTAGTTTTCCCTTCCAGTATGGTTTTCACTGTAAGCTCATGTTTGTTTCATGAAGATTTATTCTGCAAAGTAAGAGACAGTTTTGATGTAACACTATGCACATCGTCTATTCTGAACTTGTGTTTTATTTCCATAGATAGATACTATGCAGTGTGTCAGCCTTTGACATACAGAGCAAAAATAAATGCTCAAGTAACTGTGGTTATGATCCTGGTGAGCTGGGGTGTCTCTGTTCTGATTGGAATCGGTATCACACTTGCAGGATTTAGCCAAGGTACATGTGAGGAAATGTGCTCAGTTGATACTATAGTGGCAAACACTATGGGACCTGTTTTCTCATTTTACTTTCCAGCTGTCATAATGCTCTGTATTTACTTCAAGATTTTTCTTGTTGCACAGCAACAGGCAAAGAGCATCCAGACCACAAACTGTCACAATAGTTTGGGAGCGACTGTTAGTAAGATGGAGAGAAAAGCTACCAAGACTTTGGCTATCGTAATGGGAGTTTTTCTTCTATGTCTAACACCTTACTTTATTTGTGTGGTTTTTCTGCCTTTATCTAACAATCCCCCTCCAGTCCCTGTGATTGAAGCTTTGAACTGGCTTACACTGTCTAATTCAATGCTAAATCCTTTGATTTATGCTTTCTTTTACAGCTGGTTTAGGTCAGCTTTCAGAATAATCATTTCAGGAAAAATATTTCAGCGTGATTTAGTCAACACAAAACTATTTTGAATTTTTTCGTGTTTCATTATTGTAGAGGATGACTGATAGAGGATGAGGGTGACTGATATCTTGTGAATTTTATTTTTCTGTGACAAACTATCAGTCTCAAACAATCTCAACTACAAAAAAAGAAATACGTCAGAACACAACTTTTGATTTGTTCAGGGTTTTTTGACATCACCATAGACTCAGAATTATATATGTATGGGCAAAATGGGAACCAATGAAAGACTATGGCAACCAAAAAGTCAACTGGAGATTTTTTCGCATTGTTACCAATAGTAACATTTTCAAGTTACATTTATTCCAATTAGTAAAGTATTCATAGGCCCATACACTACCTTGTTCTCACAACCAGTTTTATTATTTTCAATGAACTTCATGATATGATGATGACATTTGTTCACAATCAGGAAACCACTCTAATACCACAATGACAAGAAGATAATGCTCCATATTCTATAATCATTACTAAGATATTTTTCTGTGGAAACCTGTCTAATACATATCTTTTTTTTTTTGCAGCAGTGGTGTATGTTATTGTTTCCCTACATATATGGATACCTAACAAATATTCATAAATAAAGAACTGACGATTTTGATCTAAATATCCCATGCCCAGTCCTCAGTGTTATGATTTCTCCCACTATATGATTATTATTTTCAAATATGTTTTGTGTATTTGCTTCAGCTAATATGAATTATGCCTCTCAAATAAAAATAAAAATCATAAAATGATTTAACAGAATTGTTAAGTGAAACCTTTTGCTTTTTATCTTTAAGGTAGATTCTTCAATCAGGAAGGGTAACAAGCAGCAACAAAGTGATTTTAATAATGACCAAAGTAGCATACCAGCAGTTGCAAGAATTAGCTCAGTAGAACTAACATGCATCTTTCCTGTTACGACAGTATGTTTGTCCTTTTATTTTAATTTAAAATATACAACTTGATATTATCATACTATATTGATGTATTGTTATAATGTTCTTATATAATACTCAAATAATAACTCAGTTTTTAGTTTTGGTCAAGTCTTATGATTTTAGGTTAAGGGACATGTACGAGAATTAGTAAAAAGGAAGAAAATGAAGAGATACAAAAATTAACCTCATGACCTCATAACAGTTTGGTAATGTTTTATTACTATGAACTTCAAGAGGTTTAATGGATTTTGTAGTTTTTCCAAAAACGTCAACAGTACTACAAAACAGATCTAAAACTAACAAAGGATTATTCATTGTGTGTGTGTTTATTCATTATTAGTTTTTCCATATTTGTTGAGTGAAAGCTTTCGTTGTTTTTTATAGAACCAAATGAATCAGGTAGATGTTTACTGTTGACACAGTTAAGAGAACATACACAAAGACCCAGAGAGAGAAAGCAAGGGAAAACATTCACAGACACCTTAAACGGACCTTAACTTAACTAAACCATGACCTTATTACAATTGCAAACATGGTTATCATTAATGATGAACCTGAGCAGAAGAATTTAGCGTCCAATATTTAAAATGCAACAGACTAGTGGCAAAACTGGTGATGAATAGTCAGCATACTTTCAATTAGGCTCAGTTAAGTTGTTTTACACACAAGGATGATAAGGCTCACTTCATTTTTCTTTTGTCGATAGACTAGAACTACAGATATGCTGTGTCTTTCTCATCATTTCATAATGAGAAAGGAGCAGACCAAACCCACAACATTTCAATGTGAACTGAGATGGTTTAGAAAATGAATTTTAGTTAAAATGAAATTGATGTTTGTTATTTAATCAATTTCACTTGGTAATCTAACTTCACTCCATATCTCATTTAAAATAACCCTTATATTATTGTGTTTCTTGATACTTATACATATTGGCCATCATGAAAATAATTATAGCACTGTATATGTATATACTGTAATCATATGTGTGTAATAAAAAAGTTCATTACATGAATATAAGCAGAAAAGGTTTTCTAATTTCTAATACATATGTCCCCAGTGATTTTTATACAGATAAAACTCCACTATTGATCGTAGAGACTTTTACAGACAGGTGTAAGCATCTGCAACATAGATACTTTTATTTTATATACTTGCTTCTTATTAGTCAGTTTTATTTTCATTCTCATTTAACCTGTAAATGAGCCTTTAATAAATTAATCCATTATTACTTTAGCCTATTCTTTCACAGATGGACCTTGATCCTTTTAATCAGGCCAGCTCCTCTGCCCTAACCCTCCTCAATAATTAGGCATTATGTCAACTCAACATTGTCCTCCCTCAGTTCTGATTATTAAGTAAACTAGAAGCCGTTGCAAAGAAGGAACGTACTTTTTGAGTCACAAAGCACAAACTCCAGTGACCAGATAACATTTTCCTGACCTGAATTTTGGTTTCATGTCTCAATTATATTTCCTTTAGGCTTCACCCTTTAAAGCTATCGCTAATGGGCAGCACTGAAAACTTTATTTCACGCATTCCTGTCAGGTGGGCCCCACCTCAGCTTCGAGCATAATCACGCACATCTACAATCTTCTTCCGCTCTGTGAGAGGCAGGGAAGGGTGGAGTTCTTCACCTCCACCATGGAAGACATTTTTTTCAGCGGAGGAGTACTTTCTGGAAAGGGCCATTGACCTCCTAAACACAGGGCAGGAGGTGGACAACTCTGACCGGATGGGAAGTTCCAGGGGTCCAGGCCCAGCTCCCGCCAGTCAGTGGCAGTTTGTCCGGCACAGGCCCCGTGCCCACCAGACAACATGGCCATTTGAGTCCTGTTTCCCAGCCATCACCCCCTACTAGTCTGGGCCGGCTGGTGAACCTGGGCATTTAAAAGCGCAAGTGAGCACTTACACGCCCACCACCAAGGTGCAGGGGTTTTCCAACCGGTCCCTGCCTCGGAAGAGAGCCTGTCCTCAGTCTTCAGTATGGAAGAATTACTTCCGACAACGACAAAGATCAGCTGATGGTCAGGTACCAACCTGATGGTCAGGAACCAACCTGATGGTCAGGAACCAACCTGATGGTCAAGTTCCAACCTGA